AATCCCAACCGATAAGTGGTCGGCTAACTACAGAAGTGTCCTTCCGGAGCGAAAAGAAAACACTAACCTTCTATGTAGTACCATCCCTAGCAGGAGATTTGTATCTAGGAATAGATTTTTGGAAGCATTTCCAGTTATTACCCGAAGCCTTCCGGGGCAACAATCCAATAGTGGCAGCATTAGAAGAGCCAATATCTCGTGAGCTCTTGCCTGACCAGCAACAAGCGCTACTTCGTGCAATTAAGCTTTTCCCGTCGTACGCGGCGAAAGGTCTGGGAAGGACCCAACTACTCTCACACTCCATTGATGTGGCTCAAGCAAAACCCATAAAACAAAGGCACTATGCGGTATCTCCGGCAACGGAAAAACTTATGTATGCGGAACTGGATAGAATGCTAGAGCTAGGTGTAATAGAGGAGTCGTCCAGCGCTTGGTCCTCACCAGTAGTTCTGGTCCAGAAACCTGGTAAAGTAAGGCTGTGTATTGATAGCCGAAAGCTGAATGAAGTGACGGTTAAAGACGCATATCCAATGCCACTTATTAATGGAATTTTAGGTAGGCTCCCAAAAGCAGAATTCATAACTAGTTTGGATCTAAAAGACGCCTTTTGGCAGATCCCGCTAGATGCTAATTCAAGGGACAAAACAGCATTCACAGTGCCTGGAAGACCCCTCTATCATTTTGTTGTTATGCCCTTTGGGCTATCTAATTCTCCCCAGACTATGTGTAGGCTAATGGATAAGGTGATCCCAGCGTCTCTAAGGAACGAGGTGTTTGTGTACTTAGACGACTTACTAATAGTCTCAGATACTTTTGAAAGACATATAGAAGTTCTGAAAGAGGTTGCGTCCCACCTTCAAAATGCCAAATTGACCATAAACGTAGAAAAAAGCAATTTTTGCATCAAGGAGGTTAAATACTTGGGACATGTGATTGGCCATGGAACCGTAGGCACAGACCCAGATAAAATATCCGCAATTCTGGAGTTCCCTAGCCCTCGCTCCATGAAACAGGTTCGCCGTTTCTTAGGAATGACGGGTTGGTATAATAAATTCATAAAAAACTTTGCCGCGTTAGCTTCTCCAATAACCGATACGCTCAGAAACAGAAAGAAATTTGCTTGGACTGAGGAAGCTCAACGAGCTTTTGAAATCTTGAAAGAACACATGTGTACGGCCCCTGTGTTGCATAGCCCAAATTTTGACGCTCCCTTTTCCATCCATTGTGATGCAAGCAACACTGGAGTGGGCGCGGTTCTAATGCAGGACGACGCCGAGGGAAACGAAGTTCCAATCTCCTTTATGTCCAAGAAACTAAACAAATGTCAATCAAATTACACAGTCACAGAAAAGGAGTGTTTGGCAGCTGTTTTGGCGGTAAAAAAATTCAGGGCATATGTGGAGGGACAAGAGTTCACAATTATTACCGATCACGCGTCCTTAAAGTGGCTAATGTCCCAGGGAGACCTCAGTTCTCGTCTTGCACGATGGTCCTTAAAATTGCAGGGATTTAAGTTCAAAATCAGCCATAGAAAAGGAAGTCAAAATGTAGTACCAGACGCCTTGTCAAGGACTTTTACGGAAGACCTTTCGGGCTTGGAAATATCTAGTTTAGTGGATATGGATGCCAGTGAGTTTAAAGGGAAAAATTACGAAGATCTAAAAGCAGCTATTTCCACAGGAGTACAACAATTAGGTGAGGTTAAGGTCAGCAACGGATTTGTTTATCGTCGCGCTGAGCACGCTGCAGACGAGAAAGTGGCAGATGAATCCTGTTGGAAGCTGTGGCTTCCTAAAGAGCTAGTTCCAGATTTGTTAAAAAAAACGCATGAAGATCCCTTAGCAGCACACTGTGGCATAGCCAAAATGTTAGAAAACTTGAGAAGATATTTCTATTGGCCAAATTTAGCGGTAGATGTAAAAGATTTTGTCAATAGGTGCGAAGTGTGCAAGACAACAAAGCATCCCAGTCAGACTTTGAGACCAGCCTTGGGAAATACTGGCCAATCTGAAAGGATTTTTCAAAGGCTCTACGTCGACTTTTTAGGGCCGTATCCGCGTAGCTCGGAAGGGCATATAGGGCTTTTTATTGTAGTCGATCATGCTTCAAAGTTTCCCTTTCTGAAAGCCGTAAAGAAATTTACGACAGAGGCTATTCTTCCATTCCTTGAAAAAGAAATCTTCCATTGTTTTGGCGTACCGGAAACTATTATTTCCGATAATGGAGTGCAGTTCAAATCAGTGGCGTTCAACGCTTTACTTGAGAGATATGGGATCGCACACTCCTATACGGCGATTTACGCTCCACAAGCCAACGCCTCAGAAAGGGTCAATAGATCGGTGTTAGCTGCCATCAAGGCGTACATAGATCTGAGTCAAAAGAACTGGGATAGTAAACTTAGTAGCATCTGTTGCGCGTTGAGGTCAAGTTTTCATTCGGCCATAAAAACGACACCGTACAGAATGGTTTTTGGGCAGCACATGGTAGTAGATGGAAAATCATATAAAATCATTAGGGAGCTAGGATTGCTAGAGGATAGAAATGTACAGTTCAGTAAGGATGACTCGCGAGACATAATAAGGCGTACGGCTCAGGATTCGATGGAAGCCCAAAGGGAAAGGAATGAAAGGGCTTATAACTTGCGGAGCCGAATTGTGTCTTACAGACCGGGTCAAGAGGTCTTTCGCCGGAACTTCCAGCAAAGCAACTTCGCAAAGGGTTTTAGCTCAAAGCTAGCACCGGTTTTTATAAAGTCTAGGATCCGAAAAAAACTGGGTTTGGCCTATTATGAAATTGAGGACCTCCAGGGAAGGTTAATTGGCAAATACCACGCGAAAGACTTGCGACAATAAGACAAGCTGGGATCTCCCTTGTGTCGATAGCTCACCCCAAGTGAGATTTTGGTGGGGGGGAACTGTAGGATTGCTTGTCTTTTGGCTAAGATTGCTTTCGGCCCAAAAGTAGGCAACAGAGTTTGGTCTACATGGTTTAGTAGAAAATATAGTCTCTTGAGCCAGAACTCCCAAAACTTCACCAAATTGGTGAGTAGGCTTGAGCTACAGGTCGGACTCAGGGTCCCGACCCGAAGTCAATTTCGTTTGGAGTCACACCAAAATTACCAGTGGATCGAAGAAGAAGTTAGTTGCAAGTGCAAAGATCAAAGTTACACAAATTAAAGGAAATCCAAAATTTCCAAAATTCCCGGCAATCGCCGTTACAAGTGGCTTAAAAACCAAAAAAAAACACAAGTGCTAAAGTGCCAACCCCTAGTGGGTAAGTTTTTTGAGTGCGAGAAGTTGATAAAGTGGTGTTTGAACGCCGTAATGTTTTTAGGTGGCACCTAATTACATAACCCCGGTCCGCCAAAAGCCAGGCTTGGGCGTAAGAGGCGTCTGGAGAACAAAAGCGCCAACAGGAGTGAAGTTATATATCCATCAACCGATCAATCAGCACCAGCAGCAGCAGCAGAATCCGAGATCCCTCAGCAGCGACAATAGCGCCGAGAATTTGATTTATTTATTATCTACATATTTTATTATCATTATCTACATATTTTTTCTACTTTCTACATCTACGTTTATATGTTGTAGAATAGCCCAGTAGCCAACAAAATTTAGGCTAGGGTCCATTTACCGGCAATACAATCCGTAAGCCGTAGGGAAATATAGCCCAAGAAGACAAAAAAAAAATGAATTAATCAACCCCTCAAATACTAAATCATTTCGAATTACATTTAAAACTTAAAGTTTCGAATTTTACGCGTCATTATACGCCACTAGAAGCAGATTGAAGCTGAATTTTAGTTTAAGTAGTTTTAAGAGAATAGTTATAATCAAGAGAGTAGGTCAATAACAGGGAAAATATGCATTAGAGCTGAGCAGTCCCGTCTTCCCATGTACTTTTCCCTTCCCTCTCCCATGTCTTAACGGCAGAGTACCGTACCGCTGTAGAGTACGAGTAAGGCGAGTGAGAGTAACGCTAGCGATCTCTTATGTAGTTGAGGTTCTCTTTCACAGGCCCCCTTCGAGAAGCGCTTCTTCGTGGGAAAACAAAGTGAGTCGATTTAATGTCATAAGAATCTCAACTACCCTTTTTAAATAGAACAAAAGTCTAAAGAGAAAATTTAACTTGTTACAAAATAAAAAATTCACCCCTCACTTAAATGCTGTAATAAAAAAAAAAAAATTTAAAGAAACTACAAACTCCAAAAAAATGTCCTCCCCATAAAGCCCAAACCACAACTCCCTGCTCAATAATATAAAGTTTTAAGCCACACATATCATGCCATAATTTTACATACCTACACCCATTATACCCGCTCTCTACATTTGTATTATTTCATGTAAAAGCTAGATGTTATATACATGAGCACTGAAATATTCAGCGATCGCTAAATTTAATTTTTATTCATTAAATTCGCAATTTTAAGTTCAATCTATATGTTAATCACTTCTTAGGATCCTAATGCTCTTGTTTAGAATTAAATTTTGTCAGTTAATAGGATTATTCTATGTTTAAAAATAAAATTTATAATGTTGTCTAAAGTTGAGTAGAGTCCATAGGGAAGCCATGCGTCGTCGAATGTTATCTGTCGTGTAAAGTGTAGTCGCCTTTTAGGGATCGCCATAAATATATCTGGTCGATGGTGATCATGGTAGGGAGGGCAAGTCAGCTTGAACAACCGCTGACATAAAGGCACTACATCCTTGTTCGTCCTTATCTGTCCTTTGCTAGTCAATAGTCCGGTCCATTAGTCCTGTGGAGATCCTCGTACCCTTTAGCACGCGAAGTAATAAGATTTTGTTGTTCGTCTATAGAGCAAGTAGCAGCGTTCTTAAAACCTATCCCCGACCCCCCTCTACTGGTAACTCATGCCGGAACCAGCGCGTGCTCTACGTAGGCTACAAATTACACCAGCTCTCGAAACGTAGTTCGCTACAGTTGTTCGTATGTATAAATAGCTATAGCTATAGCTCTCTACGACTACGTATTTATGTATGTGTGCTTTGTATAAATATATATCTATATGCCTAGATGTATCCATATTCGTATCGTAATCGTAATATATTACAATGCTTGCTCAAACAAAAGGTTCGGTAAAATATATATCGAAATGTCTGGGGTTCCTCCAAGTCAACAGCATACCTTTATAAGAAGGGGCTGCCGATGGAGCTTGGGTGTCTTTTCTATGAGTTACGAGTATTGTATATATAGTAATTCATTCAGTCTCACAAATAGGAAAGTATTATTTATGTCGCTTATTTTAGTAGATTTCTGTAATTGTATAAAACGAATTTGAAATCGATTAAATTATGGCGAAAATAAATAAAAAGATGCTTCGCGAAATATTGCACAAAATGAAAAGAAATGAACAGATGATTGCACAACCAACAAATGTGAGATTAAAACCAAAGGAGAAATAAAAAATCAATTTTGTGTTTTTTGTATAATTTTGATTATCTTCTTTTATATTTTCCATGTATGTAGGCATGTCTCATCTTTTCTGCGTTTTGCTTTTCCTTAGAAATATTATGCGTATATATATAAATATTGCATATGCTTAGAAATCTTAAAGCTAGCTTAGCCTAGGCCTTACATGGCTAAAACATCTCATCGTCACTCGTTCCCTAACTCTCCTGCTTGCTTTGTATCAAATACAAAAATACAAAAACTTTTGCATAGTCTTAGTCTCAATTATCGGGATTCTTAAGAATTTCCCCGAACTCCCCACCCCGCGTATCTCGTACTTTACAAGACAAATACTTAAACATTACGAATTGGTGTTGTGTCTTACAGATCGAAGCCGAGCTCTGGGCTCAGCCTTTAATATACAGACCTTAGTGGCTAGTTTTATTAATATGCGCTAAATAGATTTATATCGATACTTAAAGCTAGTCAGCCTCATTAAGATTATAAGCTTAAGTTTATCTAAAGATTTCATATATAATATTCAGACGAAAACGAAGACTAATTGAGAGCGTAATTTTGGTAAAGTACAATACGAGCAAATTTTTTGGATTCGGTTTTTTGTTTGTGGTTAAAGGTCAAAGGTTAAAGGAGTTGGAGGAAGGTTGAGTGATTAAGGCGCAAAGTAGTTTGGGGGGAAATATCCTAGAGTGTGTAATTCTAACGTCTATATATTTTATATATATTTAGTGTGGTTTACAATATAATTCATATGTTTCGAAATACAAATACAATCGTAAATGTAAATGTGGACAAATGGAAACAGTCAAAAGCACCGATTTTTCAGCTAAGTTTTCTTTATGTTTTCTTTTTTTTCGTTTGTTGCTTAGTTTTTATATGTTTTTTTCCGTAATAATCATAGTAATCATAATAATGATAATGGTAATTGTAATCCCTAGTGGTCTATGTAATTATCTATAGCTAGGCGATACTAGTTCAACAGATGCCGAAATCCGAAATAAGGTTTCCTTCTATTTACAGTTTTGCTATCATTTGTTTGTTGCTGCTGTTCCGGTTGTGTATATTTAATAAAATACATATAAATATATATATATTCGTATGTATAATAATGATATATTCATATATAAAATACGTATATAAGCCTTTCAGATCTGTTCTTACTGTACAGAGATGATCGACCCTAAGCAAATGTATTTTCGGTTACGGTTTTATCGCGGGTTTCAGTGCTAACGAAATTCAAATAAGGCAACTTGAATCTATGTATTGTATGTGTTAATGTATCCTTATTAATCCTTTAACTTTTAACTGTGTAATCTACGTCTAAAGGTGCGCGCCTCAACAAACAAACAAACAAACAAACGGAGAGGAGGTGAGAGAACAAATCAGAACAGGAAAATGAAAATCGTCGAAAGTCAAGTCTAAATGCATTTTCTTTCTCTCGTTCTCAGTTTTCAGTTTTCCGCAAAATTCTCTTCTGCTGCCGGCTCCCCTTATTCTCCCATTAACAATCGCTTCCTGTTAACCAATTTCCTCACTTCCTTTTTATATGTACGGTGTGTATATATATAAAATATTTATCAAAAATAATATGCCTTTAGTGCTCTCCTGCCATGCTGATAATGATGAGAAGAAGAATTCATGGGATTGCCAATTGGTGAGATCTAGTTTTCATAGCGCGAAAATGAGTTTTCAATTTCAGGGGGGGAATTACGAAGGGGGGGGATCTTGAACTATATACAACTATATAATAATACCGTTACGTTTACTTGTGCTGCGTTTTCTTTTCTTTTTTGTTTTGTTCTGTTTTTTGAGGGGTGTCGTCTGTCTGTCTGCCTGTCTGTTCTTAACTCTATTTGATTTTATTGCACTTGGATTCCATCACTTCCTCTGGTCTGCAGCTGCTCCTTGAATATCTCGATGCAACTCCTACGTGCATTCGATGATCATGGGCTGGTTGGAGGACTCGATGACCGATGGCCTGCTCTCCTGCTCCTGCACATGCTGCCCATGCAGATACACCCCCGATTCTGGCAGGGATTTGAGTGCCTTGGGCGAATGTTGCTGCTGCTGTTGCTGTTGCATCTGCAACGCATGTGGGTGGCCAGCATGTTGCAGCAGGCGGCTGGGTGGCGAGTTCTGTTGGTGGTGCGACGGCGGCGGTGGTGGCAACTGGCTGGCGGTGGTCAGCAGCATGGGTGCACCACCCACTGCATGTTGGGCCATCAGCAGGTGGGGCGGTGGCTGCTGCTGTTGCTGCTGCTGCTGTGGCGCCATGTGGTTGCCCAGGGGTATCAATCGCGGCGGTGATTGAGCGCCTCCATTCGAGAGGTGCCTCAATCCCGGATGCACAGCAGGATGCATGTGCTGTGTCAGCTGCTCGTAGGCTTCTCTAGAGTCCGGTTCGGGATGGTCTTTATCTGTAGGGTATAATTTAACCATTAGTTAACCATCAGTTAGGAGGGGTTTACAAAAAGACCTACCCAAACACTCCGATGTGGCCGCTGCCGCCATGGCCAGCTCCTCCTCCAGATTGTTGGGCTTGCAGCTGGTGGTCTTCCAGTGGGTCCTCAAGCCCGAAGCACTGATGTACTTCTTATCGCAGCCCTGGCACACATAGGGTCTATCGTTCGTATGCAGCCTCTTGTGCAGCTTCAGATGCACAAACTGTGTGAACTTCTGGGGGCAGAGATCACAGGCATACGGCTTCTGACCGCTGTGCAGCCTCAGGTGAGTCTTTAGGTTCGAGGTGCTCGAGAAGCGCTTCTTGCAAATATCGCACTGATGCGGTTTCTCGCCCGTGTGCACCAGGTGATGTTTCTGCAGGTGCGCCAACTGGGTGAAGCTCTTGGTGCAAACGTTGCATTTAAAGGGTCTCTCCCCCGAATGAGTTCTCAAATGAACTTTGAGGTTGCTCAACTGACCGAAGGTCTTGCAGCACACATTGCACTCGTAGTGCATCTTGCCGTCCTTTTTCTTCAGAGGATAGGGCAGCGATCGGTAGCCGCGGGAGGCCAGGGAATTGGGACTCAGTGGGCTGCCGCTGCGTGGACACGAGTTGCCATCGGGACTCAGGCTGCTGGGCGGCGAGATCCTCAGCGGGGAGAGACGCTGCAGCGGGGTGAGGGGCTGCATGAGGGGGTGGTTCAGCATCTGGGTGCTCGTTTGCAGCAAATGGAGATTGGAGGCGGAACCGCCGCCACTCGAGGCATTCGACTGCCGGTCGAAGGGGGAATGCGAACTGTGCGGCGGCGAGTGGAAGGTCGAGGTGGCCGCCGCTCCATAGTGGGGATATCCCGGATAGCCGGGACTGGGCGAGTGATGACCACCCACCGCCTCTCCACCGCCCAAATAGGCAGCATGCCGCGACGGTGAAAAGATGACGTTGTGATGATGGTGACTGGGCGGTGGTGGCGAGCATTCTCCCTTGATCAGCGTACCCCTGGTCATCTCCTGTTCGCTGACCACCACTCCAACCGCCGAGGAGGAGGAGAGCTGCTGCTGGTCGGGATTCTGTCCCAGATTGGAGCTGCTGTCGGGACTCACGGCATTGCCGTATCGCTGCGACTTCTTGTAGCTGTAGGCCATCTCCGTGGGCGAAGTGGGCGGCGGTGTGGCCGCATTGGCCTGCCGACAGGCCGCCGCCGCTGCCGCCGCTTCCAGGCGATGTTGACCCGTCAGGATGGTCTCCAAAATGCTCGACGAGGGCTGCCCGAATCGCATGTACCGCTCTCCCGGCGGATCTGGCTCGTAGTAGGGCTTGCTCAGCGGGACAATGGTGCGCGACTGGCCACCGGAATTGTGCTCCAGTACGATGACCGTTGAGGAGGCGGGTTGCTGGTTGGATGGCTCACGTTCCATCACCCTTTCCCGCTCCCTCTCCCTTTCCATCATCATCACATGCTCATCGCCCAAGTGATGGGTGGTGGTCGAAGGGCAAATGGAATCGGGCTCCTGGTGCATCGCCTGATCCTCCTCCTCCTCCTGCGGATGATGGCAGGAGGACATCTCCATCTGGTCCACCTCCTTCACGCACGGCTCCTGCTTCACGCAGCTCTTGTTCTTGAACTCGTACTTCAGCGGCATCTTCACCTTGAACTTCCGGTACTCGTTCTTGTCCGCCTCACAAATGGGCGTGGCCGTGGGTGAACTATTTATGGAGCTCGTCGTCGTATTGGCCATAGTGATGGTCACCGGTGGCGATTGGCTCACTGGCTTCTGGGCCTGGGCAATCACCGTCTCCTTGGGAGCAATCGCCTTCTTCGAGCAGTCGAGCACATAGTTGTGTTCGCTTTCGCTGTCGCTGGAATCCTCGGGCGGCGTCAGGCCATCCTCGTGGCACTCGTTGCTGTGGTAGCCCTCATCCGAGCGCACCGACCGCACGCTGCCATCCTGGGGGGTCATCTGGTGGTCCAGGCCGGAGAGCGGAGATCCCGCCGTGTCCTTGTCGCTGCTGCTGGTTAAAGGCGATCGATCCTGGCCACCGATGATGACGGACGCGTGGCGACCGTGCTGGATGTGCGGGTGGTGGTGGTGCTGGTTGCAGGTGGTGGTGCTGGGCGAGGTGGTGCTGACATGGGCGGGCGGACTGGAGCGGCGGCAGGGGGGCGGGGGCGTGGCACCGGTGGTAGCGGCACCACCACTTCGCTCCGCTGCTCCCACCGGCAGATGGAGACCCATGACGTAGGTAATGTGACTCACGGCCACATCGGCGGGAATTTCCGGGGCAGGCATCGAGTAACGCGGCTTGCCATCCTCTCCCTCCGCCTCCCCCTCCGCCTCCGCCTCCCCCTCCTCCTCGTCGTCGACCTCCTCCTCCACCGCCTGCTTGCAGGCCCCAAAGATCGTCGTTTCGGGATCCACATCGTAGCCCAGGCGACTGGCAAAGTCCTTGCAGTACCACACCATCAGCTCCTCGTTGGGCAGAATGTCGCGGGTGGTGTAGAAGTAGATGTTCTCCTGGTGCTGACAGGCCACCAGGTTCATCACGGACAAACTATAGGCGGACGCCACGTAGCGCATCCAATTGGATTGCGAGCGATCGGAGCCATCCAGATAATAGTAGTCGTCGTCCTTGAAGATCTGCACGGAGACAACGAAAGAGAGCGGGAAGATGGGGGAATTTAGACTGATTCTGGAGAGTAATAGACAGAAGGAATAACGACACAAGACGCACAACAAGGAAGAAAGAAATATAGGTGCTAAGAGGAAAACAGATTTAGGGATGTGTTAATGAAATATTTTCAAAAACATAAAAGTATCTTTTAATTTACTTTTATATTGGTAAATATTCAAAAACACATCAGATAAATAGAGCAGTGCATGGTTAGTTACAGAAAGATAGTTTGTGCTGATTGGGGTTTTGGCTGGGTAGCTTAGGTGTAGTAGAGTTTAGGGGCTAAAGACAACAAATAGAAATCAAAGAAAGCATAAATCGTGAGTGGTACCTTAATATTCCCGTAGGTTATGTGGCGTGTTCCCTGCACCTGATTAACCACAATCAAATCGAATTGTTTTCCAAAATGCAAAAGTTAATTTTGAATTTTCGGTTTTTTGGTTAAACATATTTGTGTTCATTTTGGTTGGGTAATTTTTGGGATGGTTTAAGATTAGATCACATGAAATAAAAATTAAAGAGAAACGAGTTGGTTAGCGGCATGTTTTTTTTTTATTTTCGTCTGGATGATTGGATGGGGAAAGCATGTGATTTTGGTGATTTCTTATGACTTATTTAGGGCAACATTTAATACTCCTTTTTTTTGCGAAGGAGCTGTGATGTGACCGAAAACAAAGGCAAACAAAAGATGCAAGTGAATTGAAAGCCCACAACAGATGCTTAGCCCTTCGATGCATGAGAAGCATTTAAGGAGATGATGGAGATGCTTACCCGCCAGAAATAGCGCGCCTTATTCTTATCATTGGGATAGTTTGAGGTTGGAATGCCTTCGAATGGGCCGAAGCGAGTGCCACGTGGGATGACCCCGCTGCTCCAAACTCCTTCAGTCTGTAAATGAAATAAGTAATGGGAATATAGAGGTTAGTTTTGGGTTTTTTTGTGGAGTTTATTTAAGTGATTTGTATAAGTGATTTTATAAGAAAGTCCCTTCTCACCTTAACATTTGGCGTTGAGTAGACCATGGATGACTTGAGCGTCAGGCTGCGCGGCAGCGTCTTGTCCGCCCGATTGGGCAGCCCCCGCTCCGCCTGGACATCCGGCACCAGGTAGACCGCCAGCCGCTGGAAGTCCTCCTCCCGCATCCTGGTCACATCGTAGTCCTGATTGCCATCCGGCGACGGACTGCGACTTCGACTGCGACTGCGCGCCCTTCTCGCCGATAGTTTGTGATGCGGATGCGGGTGCGGATGTGGCTGGGCATGGGCATGAGGATGCGGATGCTGCTGGTGCGGATGCGGATGTGAGTGGCTGATGGCTCCTGCCTGCTGCTGCTCCTGCGGATTCTGTGGCTGCTGCTGCTGCTGCAGATGGGTGTGGTTGTGATGTCCATGCATGGCGACTATAGCTAGATTGTTGCTCAGCTAACGCAATATATATATGCTGGATTATATATATATAATAGTATATATATATATAGGGGGTTCAGTGGTTGCTGCTTATTCTGCTAGTTGTTTGTGGTTGAAGTTTTACTTGATCTGGAATGGCAAAAAGGAGGGGGAGAAATACGTTTTAAATATAGACATAATTTGGCGCTATAAATAGAGGCGCCTATCACCCTCTATACCTGCATAAACCCTCTACCACCCCCCCGGAAAAGCTCCTCTGAATTTTCACAGTGTTGCATTCGTGTTATCGTCACTGCAAAAAGCTAACTACAAAACGGCGACGAGTAGCGAGTGAAGACGGGGGGTCATCCAGAAAACGGGGGAATGGTTGGTGGTGCAGTTCAAGATTGCGGCCTTAGTGGAGGTTACACGTTCACGTTCAGGGGCACAAACCACCCACCACCCAACCCCCACCGCTTCACCGGTTGGTTTGGGAAAATGAAATGAAAATTCCTCGAAGACAACAACTCACTTGAATTATTCTCCTTCATTTGGCTGCCGTTTTCTGCGCTTTGTACTCTCGTTCTGCATTTGCATTGGACTTTCCCTACATTGCTTTCAAACTTAGTTAAAATATAGGTATCATTTGTGTTTTTTTTCTTCGGGTTCTTAATTATTATAGAGCTGCTAATTGATTGTGGGTTCTTTATTTTGCTGTTTTGTTCTCCTTGCACTGATTCCGATATTTTGCTTTCAATTTGAATTTTAATTTCGGTCGCTTGGTTTGGTTGGCCCGCAAATTACGCATCACTTTCTGTTTCGTTCTCTCGTTACGCATACGCCGTGTGGCCTGCCGCCTGCCTCGGAATATTTTTCCGCCTGGCTTGACAATCTGCGGCGAACCTTTTGCTGCTCAGCCAGCATTCTTATTCGCACTGCGACATTCAGGTTTTTTTCGAAATTCGACAAGCGAAACTTAAAATTAAAACCAAATGCAATTGCGGCAACGACAACGAAAGAAAACGCACAAAGATTGCGGAAAATATTTATAAGATTTTTCGGTTTTTCTTTTTGTTTGCAATTTTTTTTATAGTTTTGTGAAGAAGAGCTAGGGAAACGTTGACGCCGCCAACCGAGAGTTCCTACTACTGACCCACATCCAACCGGCATAGACCCCAAAAAAGCTCAAAATTGCACTCACCCACACACACACACGGCCGCACAAATACAGGGACAACTACCGGCATTGCAGCGATACAGTTTTCACTGCAATACGAACGCATCCCGTCGAAAAGATTCTCAAATTCTCTTCTCGCTCGGAAAGTTCTCCGCCAGAGAGGGTTGGGAAAACGCTTTCTGGCGAAAGCTTCTCGCTCGGTGGCTCGGTGGTGCGGCTAGTGGTTGCAGCGGTGGTTCATTGGTGGTTGCTTGTCGATTATTTCGAATGTTAGTTTCCTACACTTTTTTTGTATTTATTATTTCCTTTTCAGACATTATTTTCAGCTGCGCAATCATGAATTTATTGTGCAAGGCTGGCCAATCTATTCCTTCCTAGAAATGGGGAAGTTGTGTTGGGTTGGGTTTGAGGGGTTTCTTAACAGTCTGTTGAGAGACCAAACATTGCGTGATCACTTTATTTTGATTACATAAATTTATAGAGGGTATACTACTTTGTTAAGGGGCAATAAATGATCATGATAAATTATCAGATCCTTAAATGCTTAAAAAATACAACAGAAAAAAAACATAAACTTCTTTATTTTAATATGTATAGAAGGTATTATGATATGGGAAACATAATATAAATATTTAAAGAATCTTTCCAATTAATACAAATAATGTTATTTCTATATTTAGAAACAAGGACGTTTGCTCAAAAACCCCATCTTAAATAAACACTGCAAACTTACCTACTCTGATCAATCTAAAAAGGGAATTTCCCATTAGATCCCTGGACTATTTGCAGCAGGAAATACCAGGAACTCTCGTTCTTATCGCTGCGCTAAGCTCGACCATTAATTCAAAACGTTATCGCGCCCCCCAATCAAGTTGAGTGCTTGAATCGCATAACCAGGAAGTTCACTTTGATGGCCACTCGTGGGGGGTGGGATTGTTGTGTGGACTCACCCAATCTGTATAGATATATGAACAATAAATACGGCTATATATGAACCATATACGTATTCAACTCCCCCTGGGCAAGCCTCTCCAAGTTCTCAAGTGGCCAAAAGGAGCTACCAATTGGCTGTGATCCCGACCGCTCGTCGAACTGCACGCACGTAGAATGCGAAATGCGAATTGCGAAATACGAATACGATTTTTCCGAGCCCCGGCGATCAAATGCGACACGGATGCAAAATTGCAACACGACTAAGTATGTGAGTCTCGATGTCGGTATGTAATTGTGCTTGAATGATGCCTAATGCACTTGCACTTGCACTTGCGAATTGCATTTTGATTCTGTTCTGTTCTGTATTCTGCGAGTGCGGAAATGTGCGAAAACGATCTGCAGAAAGTGATTTCTGGCTGCTCGTGATTTTCCCATCCCTTGTCTGTGTTTCTATTTTATATTGTGTGTGGGTTTCTGCCAGCTGGCGCCGTCAGCCAAAAATATGCAGACGAAATGAGGAAGAAGCTACAGAGGTGGATCCAACAAGATACTTTCGATTTTAAGAGAGAGAACGGGGGAGGGGGGATTGCCAAGCAACCCTTTGCGCAATTTACAGATGCGTTCGGCACACTAGGAAGTCGAAAGTCTTGTCATGCATACCGTACAAAAATCAACAATATTCTAGTTAAATCAACAAACTGCAATCGTGAGTGTAAAACTGCAGATAGCGCGCCAAAAAGCTTTTCGCTATCGCTGTGAAAATGAAAATAAACAGCTGCACACACACATCATCATACGACATTAGAAACAAAAAGTAAAAATCGGTTGGCGCTTTGCGTTTCTAATCATCGCACAATTGCATTTGAAGGACACACACTCGACGCGAGCGAAATTAAAAATAAATAGCGTACTCAGACCAAGAAATAATCATAAAAATGAAATAAAACAGGAGAGGGAGAGGCAATTGGCCAGTAGCATTCAGCATTCAGCGTTCAACATTCAACATTCAACTTGAACGCTGACGACCCGTGATAAGAGCTCGGCCACATTGCGCATACGCCATGTATGCCGACTGGCGACCAGTGAAAAGAAAGAAACTTCCGCGAAGCTCCTATGCTCTCGCCATGCATCGATCTTTATCAAATTGAAATGCGGGAAGCGATTCTAACCGAATAGAACTGAGTAGAACAGAACCCCAAATGGGGTCTCATAGTTCGCTCAAGGACAAAGTGAACTGTACTAACCGCATTAGTGCACTACCTATATATATATACTATCTATATGTATGTGCACGTTCAGCTGATAACTGCACTCTGCCGTAGCGCCGCAGTCATAAATATACCGCCATCTCACTCTATCTAAGTAGGAAATCAGCGGAGCTAAGTAGTTTCGATGAATAAACAAATTTAACGATGTATTTTTTCAAGTGTAATGTAAATATTTATTATTTAGCCATATGCAAGGCATGGAAGTGCTTCGTAGAGGAGCTACTGTCTTTGGAAAGGGAATTTAAAAAAGTCTTAAGATTTTGGGAAAAAATAAAAGATATTCTGGAAAAAATATAAATTATTTTTATAAGGTTTAAAAAATAAAATCTTTCTTTTAAAATTGTATTTTTTCATTTATTAAATTGTGGATCTAAAAAACAAAAAGTACATCAAAGAAAAGTGGTTTACTCCTGTTTACTATCAATTAATTTTATGATTCCTTGTTTATTTGGTATTTCTGTTAATCTAAGCAATAATAATACCTATCAAAGGCGGAACCAGGAATTGTAGAATTTCTGTTTACACATTCTTAGATCTTTTCCCAAGGCCTGATCTATTATGACATCGAATTCGCTACACTTTCGAGGCGACTTTAGCATGGGATTCGCTTTGCCTTTACTTGTAGATGCAATACCCGATATTACTCGCAGTTAATCCATATTTTCTATTGTTGGCCAAGATGATTTGCAGTCATTCAGTTCCTAATACAGGGTGTGTGCGATGGAGAGGGCGCAACCCGGAAATGTAAAATGTAAAGGGGTGGAAGGCGGGTGGAAAAACGGGGGAAGAACGGGGAGTTCGCATTTAGTTTTATGTGCATGCAAAACGAAACGAAAAGCGAAAAACGAAACGTGGGGGGTGGTGAGGTGGGGCAGCTGATAAAATAAAATTGCGAGCTATTTGTTTCTCTCTCTCTCTCGCTCTCTCTTTGGCTGTCTGTGTAATAATAATTTGTGTGAGCTTTTCAGCGAAAAAGGGAACAAAGGGGGTGGTTGGGGGGGTAAGGAAAGCCGTGGGAGGGTGGGGCGTTTGGCTAGAGCATCATCATAACCTTGAGTCACAAGTCGAGAATGTGCATGCGAATTGAATGCGAAAACAACAAAAATTGCCGCAATCGTCTCACTCATCCGCATTGCAAAAATAAATAAAAACAAGAGAAGGGGGTAGGAGGGTAGGGGGATGCAGGGTGCACAGTGGGTGTGTGCAGGTGATTATCTAATCAGAGTGCTGTGAAATTAATATCAGCATTTCAAGGACATTGAACAAAAGGTATGCCAGTTATTTGTGTTTTTATGCTGATGATTCTGCTATTCAGCCACCCACTACCAGCACCACCCACTCATAATCCACCCCCATTTTGCCTGGTTAGATATTGTGTTGCGGTTTCGTTGCACTTTAACCTTGAAAAATATTGTGCATTCTTTTGTTTTTGTTGGTGCCATTACTTTGATTTGCGCATGAGCAAAAACGAGTGCAATTCCCACCCCACAAGCGAGAGTGAGAAAAGGCGATTGAACCGCTCCCACTCTCGAGAAAAAAGCACTTAACCGATTCCCACTGTACAGTCAAGTCGTTTGCGATTTTGGCAGTTAATAATCGTAAATTATAAATCAATTTAAAATTCAGTCGAGCACAGAGAAAACAAAAAAATAAAAGCGAAAGTATATTAAATAAACAAATGATAAATGCAAAACAATAACGAAAAACATTTGTACACTTTTTGTACCACATTCAATGCAAATTCTCCAAAGTCAAATGCAAAAACGAAAGTA